AAGGCTCATATCACAATCCATACCTACATCCATTATGTCAAGAACATTTGTACATTTGTTGCCATCATAATTTTTAAAACATTTTCTTTCTACTTGAGCCCTTGCTGTCAGCTCATCTTTTTTTCTTCTTCCCTCCCTCATGAACCTGTGATAATTTATAAATTATTTTTTTCCATGTCTTACATTGACTGCTGTTTCCCTTAACCCATTTTTCTGTTGTTTGTTCTTAAATTGGCACTTTTAATCCTATCACTAACCTTTTGGAGGGAGCAGAACGTAATTCAGACAATTTTGTTAGATTGTTTTCTAGAAGGAATCTTGTACTTGTGATTCACAGCTGGGACCACCTCAAAGATTCTTCCTTTGTCTTTAGCTAAGAAAGTTCTTGGCAACTGTTACAGTTTGAATTGTGTCCCCCCCAAAAATAGGTGCTGTAAATCTTAACCTTTATGTTGTTTGTGATTATAATCCTACTTGGGAATGGTGGTTGTCTTTATTATGTTAATGATCCAGGATTAGTGTAGAGAGAGTTTTGAATCAGTCATTTTCTTAAGGTACAAAAGAGATTAAAAAAAAAAAAGTGATCCAGATCAGCTGAGATAAGGAAAGAGAAATGCCAAGCCACAAGAAGATCATCCTGGAGCAAGAGCAGAAACAAACCCAGAGACAAGAACCTTCCTCCGGGGGCATCGGAGCGGAAACCTTCCCCTAGAGTTGTCACCCTGAGTCCAGACTTCTAACCTCTTCAACTGTAAGAAAATAAACTTCAGTTTGTTGAAGTCACTCATCTGTGTTATTTCTGTGATCATTAAGACAGAATTTAGTATCAGGTCTGGGGTGCTGCTCTAACAAATACTTAAAATGTGGAAGTAGTTTCAGAATTGAGTAATGGGTCTAAAGACTGCAAGAGTTTTAAGGTGCCTAATAATATAAGCCTAGACTGCCTTGAAGAGGTTGTTGGTAGAACTATGGCAATTTTGGCAACTCAAAGATCATTCTGGTGGGCTCAGGAAGAAATGAGAAGCGCGATAGAGAAAGTCTCATTTTTGAAAATACCTAGGGTGACAGCAACAGAATGTTGCTACAAATGTGGATATTAAATGTGCTTCTTGTGAGGCTTTAAGAAAAAATGATGGGATTGAACAGTGGAGGAGGGGTGATGCTTTTTATGTCGTGGCAAAGAACTTAAGTTAGAGTTATAATCTTTGATGGGAGGCAGAATTTATTAGTAATGAACTTGAATCTTTGAGATTTTTCTCCTTGCCACTTACTTATCTGAAAGAAGTGGACTTAAAAATGAACTGTGTAAAATGAAAACAAAAGTTTAAAAAGACTTAAAAATCTGTTGTATAAAGAAAGGAAACTATATCATTGAATTTATACTTAGGATGTGGCTCCATATCCCTGTGGCTGATAGATTTAACCAAGGACCAGAGCAGAAAACCCATTAGTTTAAATTGAATGGGACAAACAGAATGAAAAGGAAAATGAATCTACCGGCCACTTTGAATTCAAAGGACATGAAACAGATCAAAGGAGCTACATCCGTTGCCCTTCCAAAAAAGAAGATCCCCAGAACAGCGTGGAGATCAGCAGAACTATTGGAAGGAATACTAGTGGTCCCATCTCCCTGTGGCTCTCTATTGGTTTCAAAGAATAGGGCAATGGTGTCCTGATCTCAAAGGAAGGGGTCACACATTGCCTCCTAATTCAAAGACTTAGATCTTTGCCACCTTTATTTTAGTGTGTGGGAGAGCCATTATTTGCACCAGGGAGATGGGACCACTGGCCAAAGTGAAGGGTCGGGCTAGCATGCTCAAGGTTCAAAATGTGACTTGTCAGGGCTGAGGGGGTGGGGTTACCACTCATGTCGACTAAGAGGGTGGGGCTGCCCAAATCAAGGGGGCAGGGTTTTGAACCCTTTGGGTTGGAAGATAGAACTGAAGTTGAGGGGATTCCATTTAGTATCCAGAGTGCCTGGTCAACAATGAGGGTTTGGAGGACAGCACCATGGCCCAGTTGGTCTCAAGAGAAGAGATTTTTTTTCTTAAACCTTAAGAGCTGATGTAAATTATTCTGATGGGTTTGGGACTTGCTTGGTATCCATTATTCCTTTTTCCCTGTACATTCATTCTCACATTTATAATCGAAATGACTATTTATGCCTATTCCACCATTGTACTTTAGAAACAGATAATTTACAATTTCACAGATTTCACCGGTTAACAGATCAAGGAAAATTTTGCCTCATGATGGAATATGTATGCAGTTTCCCCCATATTTAATTTAGATGATTCAGAAGTGAAGATCTTGGACTTAAGAGTTCTTGGAGACTTTTGAGATTGTATGATAGGGCAAATGGGTTTTGCATGTAGGAAGGAATTGAATTTTGGAGAGCCAAAGGGTTGAATGCTATGGATTTAATTTTGTCCCCCTGAAATTTGTATTGTAAATTCTGATTACTGTGGTTATAGCCCAATTTGAGGATGGGCTATCTTTATCATGGTAATGAGCCAGGACTAGGGTTGAGTCTAGGAGAATCCCTTGAGATATAAAAGTGGTTATAGAAATAGAGATCTAGGAAGAGAGGCCAAGCCACATGAAGATAGTCCAGGAGCTGAAGCTCAGACAAGCACTTTCCTCCAGAGGCAAGAGAGAGAAAGCCTTCTTCTGGAACAAGTACCCAGGATTAGTCTCTTAAATTGTCAGTACGTAGCTTCATTTGTTCAAGCCATCTGTTGGTATTCTGTTTTAGGAGCACTAGATAATGAAGACAGCAATTGATAACAGTATTTTTATAGGCTTTTTTTTTACATTTTTGGCTTCCATAAACTCAAAACTAATAAAGGAATTGCTTTCCTAAAGTATTTTTGTAAAGTCCATTTTGAAATTTAGTTAGTATAAAATAATGTTTTGAGTGTTCATTTTTTCCCCTTACAATTGCTTTGCTTTCTCCATGGATGTTTTACCATGGCTTTTTTTTTACTGTGATTTTAGAATTTTTCGCCTCAAAAAATTGATGTGGCAGGGTTGGTGTTTTTCATCTTCTTAAGATATGAAGTATTCCCAAATAGGACCTTTCATTGAAAGACTGCAGATTAAATGACATTCTTAAAAGTTACTTGGTTTGTAATAAAAGCTGCAGACAACCAATTTTATGAAAGTTAGAATCAAGATAAAACTTATTTTTGTTATTTAGTCATGAGTTATTTAAAATATAAAAACATTTGGCTCAAATAGCACAATCTATTATTTGAAAGTTTAATCGAGCTAATGTAC